CGTTTTCTCGTATCTTTAAAATTTTGGATGCCACAGATTTGTTTCCTTTGTGGGGGATGAAGGGGACGAGGCGAAGTTTTGAAATATACTTGTAACAGTGACATATCACAGAAGTTGGGATACAAAATGTCGTTGCTCTAGCTCTTATAGTCTCTGAGCACTAGGCGCTCAGAAGGACGGACGGACGGCCGCCTGACGGACTTCATGGGGTCGGAGACGAATTCTTCTGGGCGTTACACACATCCATATTCCGCTCAAATCTAGTATAAAATATAGTATAACATTTTTCAGCATCGAGTATATAAAAAGACCGGAAAAAGTGTTGACTCTGGATGAAAATCTTTATCAAAATTTGTTGTGCTCTTTATAATTTATTATATTATTACAATTTGAATGAGTCAGAAATCGATTTAACGAATTTCGAGACCTCCGATCAATCAATCTATGAGATAGGAAGATGATAAGTGTATATGTAAATGCTGCAATCTAAGAGCGGACCTTTAAAAGAGCGTAGCGCCGATTAGGACAGAAGAGAAGTCCAACAGGCTTCAGTTAAGAGCGCAAACCGAAAGCAAAGAGCACGAAGATCAGTTGAAGAGAGCGGAGCCGATTTGAACGTTGTCGTGGATGAATACTACACCATCTCAAAGATCAAAAACGACGGTTGATAAGGAAAACACATAGCCATCCAAGCAACTCTGAAAGAACTTAGAAACCTATGGCGATCTACCTGATTTTAAGATTATAGCTGAACCAACTTAATGATGATTAAGGGAATCGCCAACTAATTGTTTTTCTATAGTCATGCGCCACGCATTATATGTTCGTCATAGATCCACGATCAGCCCGATTATCGTTCCCTAATCGCCACCCACGATTAGATCAGCACAATGGCACCGTAGCCCTGTGGCAACGGCCCACTGTGGCACGTCTTTCAGAGAAGTCAGGTGCGCTACCTGAGGCAACCGGCTGCACAGTCTATAAAAGCGGCTGGTCATCGTAGTGCGGCTTCATATTGAACATCAGGCTACGTAGTGAAGCATCAGCGGAGATTTTCGTTTTGCCAAGATTAAACAAACCGAAAGCAAAAGGCCAGAACAAACAGAACGTGAAAAGTGCAAATAGAAACCGATACCGACTCAGTCAGAGAGGAGAGGGAGATAGTAACGCAATGGATGCCAAGGAGTTTCGGGAATTTGGCAAAGCGGCAGTCGACTTTGTGGCCGACTATCTGGAGAATATACGCGACCATGAAGTTCTGCCCTCTGTGGAACCTGGATATCTCTTGGATCTCTTGCCCAAAGATATGCCCGAGGAGCCTGAACATTGGACCGAGGTTCTGAGCGACATTAATCGCGTGATCAAGCCAGGCATCACGCACTGGCAGTCGCCCAATATGCACGGCTACTATCCCACCAGCACCTCGTATCCCTCCATTGTGGGTGAAATGCTGGCAAGTGGATTCGGTATCATCGGTTTCAGCTGGGTAGGTCAGAGCCCGCACCGTTGGTGAAAAGTGCGGAGAAATCTCATTGTTTTGGTCAGCTGAATGCTGAATGGGCGCCCATTGTGTGGAGAGTGAAAGTGGGACCGAGAACTCGATAAACTGGTTGTGGCTGCAACAGATCGAAGAGATTGAATTTTAGTCAATCGCGAATTGTCACTTGCTCAAATTATGAAGATGAAACTTTGCCTCGGCCGGACAATGGACTATATTCAGTGTTTGTGTACCCTTAAAGATTGAGTGTGAATTAGAGTATTTACATAGTTATTGTTTACAAATGAATCAGGCCGATTCTTCCATTGTTCCACTCCGATTGATCCATTGAATCATAATCATATTCTTGCTTTGATTGACGCTGGATGGCATTTACATTATCATATTTTCACCACTGACTTCAAGAAACTTTTATCATCTTTCCTAGATTTGCAGTCCCGCCTGCACTGAGCTTGAAGTGGTGGTCATGGACTGGCTGGCCAAGTTCCTGAAGCTACCCGAACACTTCCAGCATGCCAGCGACGGACCTGGCGGTGGTGTGATTCAAGGCTCGGCGAGTGAAGCAGTGCTGGTAGCTGTTCTGGCCGCTCGGGAGCAGGCCGTGATCAGCTGCAAGGAGACGCATCCCGAACTAAGCGAGAGCGAGGTCCGAGGCAAGTTAATCGCCTACTCATCCGACCAGAGCAACAGTTGCATCGAGAAGGCGGGAGTACTGGCGGCCATGCCCATTAAGTTGCTGCCGGCCGACGACGATCTGATCCTGCGTGGTAATACGCTGAGGAAGGCAATCGAAGACGATGTGGCAGCTGGACTGATACCGGTCATATGTATTGCCACCTTGGGCACCACAGGGACGTGCGCCTACGACGACATCGATTCGCTGGCCGATGTCTGTCAAGCCTTGAATGTGTGGCTGCACGTGGATGCAGCATATGCAGGGGGCGGCTTTGCTCTTGAAGAGTGCACGGAACTGCGCAGGGGACTAGATCGCGTGGACTCGCTGAATTTCAACCTGCACAAGTTCATGCTGGTTAATTTTGACTGCTCGGCTATGTGGCTGAAGGACGCAAACAAGGTAGTGGACAGCTTCAATGTAGATCGCATTTACCTGAAGCACAAGCACGAGGGCCAATCTCAGATTCCGGACTTTCGCCACTGGCAGATCCCCCTGGGCCGCCGTTTCCGTGCCCTCAAGGTGTGGATTACTTTCCGCACGCTGGGCGCCGAGGGACTGCGCAGCCATGTGCGTAAGCACATCGCGCTGGCGCAACAATTCGAGGCATTTGTGAGGAACGACTCGCGTTTCGAAATGGTTGCCCCCCAAGCACTGGGATTGGTCTGCTTTCGTCCTAGAGGTGACAATGAACACACCGCTCAGCTTCTTCAGCGACTCATGGAGCGCAAAAAGATCTACATGGTGAAGGCGGAGCATGCTGGACGCCAGTTCCTCAGATTCGCCGTTTGCGGTATGGATGCAAAGCCCTCCGACATTGAGTTTGCCTGGACAGAGATCGAGACGCAGCTAACGGCCCTCCTGGCTGAGAAATCGCTGGCTGCTCGGAAACCTAGCAATGTCTCCGAGCTGACGCAGCACTTTCAGATGCATCTGGCCAGTGATAGCGGGACCCACGAGAAGTCGCAGTGACGGAAATAGCGCCCAATTTATATACAATTGAACTATTTATGTTTAGGATGTCCTTAAGTTGTTTTGTAGATGTTAGAAATAAATTCAATTTAAATCTGAAAAAACCGAGTATTGCTCTTGCGTAGTTAGTTAAATGAAGAAACCATTTGAAAATTATGAAATTTCTGTACACCGTAGAATCCGGCTAGTGACCATAGCGACAAAAACTCGATGACTTGGTTGGTCCCCAATCAAACTCCGCATTTAGCGACAAACCGCTTATACCGACGATATTTTTCACAATTCAATCGGCTATTGCGACGCGCCGAATAACAAATTCAGCGAAATAATGCCAAAAATGGTCCCAGCAGCTCATTCTCAAGTGATATTGAAAACGAGGATGACATTCCTCTAACGGTTTGTGCAAGAGCCTTAAAAAATCAGCTACGAATACATTTTTTCTTATTGACAATGGTGTGCCGATTTTTGAGGAATATATTAACATTTATTACAATTTTTGTTTTGATTAAAAAACTAATTTTTAACCATAAAACCGAATTACACTGAATAATTTACTTTGTTGGATATTTGATATTTTCTAACCCGTCGCTGGATACCCGCTCCTATGATGCAATTATACATGCATGACGTTTGGATTTGAAATTGGAAATCTCAAATTTTCTAGCCAGGGTATGCAGACAAGGTATCATCACTAACCATACAGTATATACTGTATGGTTAGTGGTATCATTCAAAAAACAGGATTGGAGGAGGATTTCGATTAGCCGATATTTCACCTTAAACTCCAAAATTTTTTGGAAACAAAATCGAAGCTCTAAGCTAAATCCAATTTTATAGGGAGTGTAGGGGCACGATTACAAGAGAATATACTCTTGCGATTCGATCCGAACCTGACGGGCGAGAGCCAATCGATGAACATCGATTGTCACGAACGTCAATCTTTCTGCAGCCCTTCAGAGCAGTGCTGCCAGACAGCTAGATAATAGTTTGTTTTAATAGTTTGATTGTTCCTAGTCGGGAATCCCGCTAGTCCAAAATATATATATATATGTTTTGAAACAGTTTCTCCCAGGTAAATATTGGTAAATATATATTATTTATTCAAGCTGAGGAATAGGGTGGTTGGCAGTTTTAATATCATATATCGAGCATATGCTTATATTTATTAAGCGATCTGGCAGCTCTGGCATACAAAGTATATCGATAGTGTTTTTAGGAGCACGGATCACCGGATCGGGTATTCAGCGACGCGTGCGAGAATATCCAAAAGAAAAGACTTGAAGGTGTAATTTCTCCAAGAAAGTAAATGATTCAGTGTACTTCGGTTTTATGGTTAAAAATTAGTTTTTTAATCAAAACAAAAATTGTAATAAATGTTAATATATTCCTCAAAAATCGGCACACCATTGTCAATAAGAAAAAATGTATTCGTAGCTGATTTTTTAAGGCTCTTGCACAAACCGTTAGAGGAATGTCATCCTCGTTTTCAATATCACTTGAGAATGAGCTGCTGGGACCATTTTTGGCATTATTTCGCTGAATTTGTTATTCGGCGCGTCGCAATAGCCGATTGAATTGTGAAAAATATCGTCGGTATAAGCGGTTTGTCGCTAAATGCGGAGTTTGATTGGGGACCAACCAAGTCATCGAGTTTTTGTCGCTATGGTCACTAGCCGGATTCTACGGTGTACAGAAATTTCATAATTTTCAAATGGTTTCTTCATTTAACTAACTACGCAAGAGCAATACTCGGTTTTTTCAGATTTAAATTGAATTTATTTCTAACATCTACAAAACAACTTAAGGACATCCTAAACATAAATAGTTCAATTGTATATAAATCGGGCGCTATTTCCGTCACTGCGACTTCTCGTGTGTCCCGCTATCACTGGCCAGATGCATCTGAAAGTGCTGCGTCAGCTCGGAGACATTGCTAGGTTTCCGAGCAGCCAGCGATTTCTCAGCCAGGAGGGCCGTTAGCTGCGTCTCGATCTCTGTCCAGGCAAACTCAATGTCGGAGGGCTTTGCATCCATACCGCAAACGGCGAATCTGAGGAACTGGCGTCCAGCATGCTCCGCCTTCACCATGTAGATCTTTTTGCGCTCCATGAGTCGCTGAAGAAGCTGAGCGGTGTGTTCATTGTCACCTCTAGGACGAAAGCAGACCAATCCCAGTGCTTGGGGGGCAACCATTTCGAAACGCGAGTCGTTCCTCACAAATGCCTCGAATTGTTGCGCCAGCGCGATGTGCTTACGCACATGGCTGCGCAGTCCCTCGGTGCCCAGCGTGCGGAAAGTAATCCACACCTTGAGGGCATGGAAAAGGCGGCCCAGGGGGATCTGCCAGTGGCGAAAGTCCGGAATCTGAGATTGGCCCTCGTGCGTGTGCTTCAGGTAAATGCGATCTACATTGAAGCTGTCCACTACCTTGTTTGCGTCCTTCAGCCACATAGCCGAGCAGTCAAAATTAACCAGCATGAACTTGTGCAGGTTGAAATTCAGCGAGTCCACGCGATCTAGTCCCCTGCGCAGTTCCGTGCACTCTTCAAGAGCAAAGCCGCCCCCTGCATATGCTGCATCCACGTGCAGCCACACATTCAAGGCTTGACAGACATCGGCCAGCGAATCGATGTCGTCGTAGGCGCACGTCCCTGTGGTGCCCAAGGTGGCAATACATATGACCGGTATCAGTCCAGCTGCCACATCGTCTTCGATTGCCTTCCTCAGCGTATTACCACGCAGGATCAGATCGTCGTCGGCCGGCAGCAACTTAATGGGCATGGCCGCCAGTACTCCCGCCTTCTCGATGCAACTGTTGCTCTGGTCGGATGAGTAGGTGATTAACTTGCCTCGGACCTCGCTCTCGCTTAGTTCGGGATGCGTCTCCTTGCAGCTGATCACGGCCTGCTCCCGAGCGGCCAGAACAGCTACCAGCACTGCTTCACTCGCCGAGCCTTGAATCACACCACCGCCAGGTCCGTCGCTGGCATGCTGGAAGTGTTCGGGTAGCTTCAGGAACTTGGCCAGCCAGTCCATGACCACCACTTCAAGCTCAGTGCAGGCGGGACTGCAAATCTAGGAAAGATGATAAAAGTTTCTTGAAGTCAGTGGTGAAAATATGATAATGTAAATGCCATCCAGCGTCAATCAAAGCAAGAATATGATTATGATTCAATGGATCAATCGGAGTGGAACAATGGAAGAATCGGCCTGATTCATTTGTAAACAATAACTATGTAAATACTCTAATTCACACTCAATCTTTAAGGGTACACAAACACTGAATATAGTCCATTGTCCGGCCGAGACAAAGTTTCATCTTCATAATTTGCGCAAGTGACCATTCACGATTGGAGGATTGGTGAAGTTTGATTTGAAAACTTCTCGCTGAGATTTACCACCACCAGTGCAGACTGGATACATGTCTTCGTGTTTAAAGTTTGAAGAAAAACAAAAGTATTAGTAATTTAATAATCCTACTGGACGGTAAGAAAGATAAATACATTTTCATTGCAAATGCTTTTTTATTGCAAATTTCGTTATTATGCTCACAGCTCACAAGCGCCACTCACAATACTCTGATTAGTAGCGTCTGCTTAGCGTGCATTTTCAAATGGACGAGGGGTGTGCCCACAACCGGCACACTTCCCCTAAGGTTTCGAAATGGCAGCAGGCTTATACTTTTATTTTTTACTGCTTAACATATCACACAGTATAAACAGTTAGTAGGAAAAAACACACAGATATTTATGGTCGTTGTGTTTATATATAAATTCATAGTTTCTAAATTTTCTGCACTAACAATGTCAACACAGAACCACTTTCTGATAGCTACAAAGATGGGCGGAGTAACGACTATTATTGCGGTGGCACTGCTCGTAACATTCGGCGCGCAGATGGCGGCGAGTGAGTCCGACGTGGAAGTTGCGGCGAGCAAGGAGTCTCCTCAGGTACCCTGGTACTCTGGAACATCCAACCAGCTGTCGGCATGGTACTTTGGAGCATCCAATAGGCTGATGGCTTGGTACTGTGATGCATCCCATCAGATGCTGGCATGGTGGGAGAAAACTCTGAAGCCACTTACGCTCCACTCGGCCGAAAGGCCCCTCGAACAGGCCCCCATTGTCTACTGCAGTCAGCCACTGGACACGTTAAAGATCTTCCAGCAGATAGGCCAACAGGTGCTGAACCAGGAGCAGGCCCTCAACCGCATAGAGAATGCCCTGAGTGTCAAGGAAAAATTCCGTTCCGTGGCTTTGATCGGACCCCCGGGCGTGGGCAAAACACTTACGGCCACGGCACTCCGGCAGTACTTTCCGTGGCAGAAAAACGTGCAGACCTACTCGTGGACCACCAGTGTGCCGGACGCTGAGCAGAAGTTTCTGCACCAGTTTGCGAACCAGCTGTCCGACTGTGGCATGAATCTGCTGATCATCGACGACCTTCAGTCGCACGACCACGATGTGGTTCCCAGCAACAACAAGCTGCTACTGGAGCGTGTGGCGACTAGCAATAAAATTGTTTTGATGGTTTACATTTTTACCTTGAAGACGGACAGCTACTGGGCCCAGTTTGAAGAGCTGCAGCGTCGTCTACCCAAACAAATGCCGCTCGTTAATTACCGTATCTTCGGACGCGATGACCTGAAAGACTGCCTGAAGAAGGAGCTGGTCGTAATGCAACGCGAGCTCTGCCCAGACGAACAGACACGCATCCTCGGCAAGGCCCTGGACAGACTCCATTATGCCGGATGCAAGGTCCTGCATCCACTCATTCTGCAGGAAGGATCGAAGATCGATACGTCTGATGCTTCCATCTGTAGTCGCTGATTTGAAGCGCTTATTATATTAAATTGAATTGAAGTGAAATCCGTTGTTTTATGTGTGTGTTTTCTTGGATAAGGGTACATTGCAGATTCTATATTGCAGAAACTACATTCCTGATCTTGAAATATGTCTTCTGTTTGTTTCATGTGAAATAAACGGATGACCATCATCTGAAAGACCATACGGGCAAGTAAAGTCAATACTTTTTGCGGAAATTAAAAAATGTAAAAATGTGGTCGTATATGTAAGAGCTCGCATTGTGGTAGTACAGTACAATCCGTACTTGGAGGCTGATATTCCTCAATTCGACAACAAATTCCGACCCACTTACGAACCATTTTTTTTTTACAAATTTTTACATTTTGAGATGTTGCAAACACACTATTTATAAGACAAGGCGATCATGGAAATTCTTATTGATGGACGTCATACGAATGTCCAACGATGCCTCAATCTCAATTAGTTCTCTCACAGCATCACAGCATGACCATTGGGTCTTGATAAGGCAAAATGTGACCTGTGCCAGAAACTTTAATAACATCCCTTGTAAAACTGAAGGGTTTCAAAAACTTCCGAAAGGCCTATATTTTCACTTTGCTAGGGCCTTGAAATAAAATCAGACATTTTTAACACCATTTAAATGGCACATAGTGGTGTTCATTCACGCATGCTAAATTAATAGCTTTTGAACGAAAGATAGATACTTTCATAAAAGGCACTTAAAAGGAAAATCTTCCAAAAAACTTTTTGTAAAAGTTGAACTTTTTCCGGTGCATATTTTTATATTTAATATGTTTTCCTATATTTGTATATTTTTTGGATCAGTGAAGAACGTTTAATGGGTAATGTATTTAATGAATATGCAAATTTTTTATATTCAATTTTTAATCTCATATAATTAAAAAAAAAAAATATTTTTATATTTTTAATTTTCAATCTCATATAATTAAAAAAAAAAACGAAAGAAACATATCAATTATAAGCCTGCTCTAGTTTTTTTATTTTTGTAAAATACCCATCTTATAACCTTAACATTGGAAATAATTTATAGCAAACTTAATTAATTAATTTTTCTGAAGAATAATTATTTTCGTAGATATTTTCCTATCTCACATGTCTAAGATATGAAATATATGGATGGATTAGTATCTAATCATATAAACTAATTTTTTAAATTTTTTCATATTTGACTCGACTTGACTGCCTCTTAAATTTTCCCGAGATTTGTTTAGTATCCGTTCTCCAATATTTCTTTATCTAAGTTCAAGATGAAATCCACCTTTTACATCGTGCCAATGTATTACCATAGAGCAATTTGCCCTCTATTCTGTTATTGCAACGACTTAAACAACAAAATAATCAACACTCAAACTATATAAGATTAGTTAATATAGAGCTATATTAGATTTGTGGTGAAAGTGGATGTGTGTAACGTCCAGAAGGAAGGCGTTTCCGACCCCATAAAATATATATATTCTTGACCAGCATCAATAGCCGATCAATAAATTAGCCAAAAGTTGTATCCAGACTCCTGTGATATTACACTGAATCAAGTTGGTTACAAACGGCTGTTGGTGTGAGAAAAATAGAAAAAAGAGAGACAGATGTGAAGAGCAATACCAAACGACATATAAAATATATTGTAAAAATTAGATATTAGAAACTATAACACTTGGCAACAATATTGACCCTTTTCTGAATGATTTGCGGCCTTACAAATATTTTATGAATCATCGGGTTTTTTTTAAAAGTGTGGTTTAAAATGTTTTGTTAATGTTTTTTCAGAGGTTGTGCTTTTTTTCCATAACTTAAGTATGTTACATCTGGTTGTACTGAAAAGCTGATAAATGCCGTTAGAAATCGGACACAACAACTTGCCGTTACAGCTTACCTTCGTAAAAATATTAAGTTTTCAAATTCAAAATTGATCATTTTTTTAGGTATATATTTTCAAATATTGATATTTTTTTGTTTCGTTTGGTTTTTTTAAGCTTTGAATCCGTACATTGCATACATATATCGTATCTTAACAACACAGGTAAATAATATTAAGGAGACCAAACCTATTGCTTAATGCCAAAGGACTTATAGAAATATAATATAGTATAGTATATAGTAATAATAAAAAAAAAATAATATTATAATATTGGGAGGGAAACTTATAGTTGGCCAAAAGTATTGGCAAATTGAAATATGGATGAACTCATAAAGTCAACTGAGATATCTATAGTTTTCACAATATCGTATTTAAAAACATTTTCTTTTTTTTTAACTTCTGAAAACGACGCTGCGGATGGACTCCGGCAAAAGAGATCTGAGATCTGGTCGACAATGGGTTAATCGTTCATTGCCCATGATTGGAAGTCATATTCCTCGATTTTGATATTCGGTTTAATTTTTATTGTAATGTTTGTTAAAAAAGGATTAAAAACTGGATCTATAAGAACAATTTACATACAGTATTATTTTCCGCGGTTCAACTCCAGTTGCACAGCTGCTTAAATAAATGGGGGGTTGAATGGGTTAAGTTCGTTCAATCATTATGAAGGAAACATCTGTTCAAAATTGTATATTATATTTTGTTTTTTTCATCTAGGCACATCAGCACAGCACACTCCAAATTGCAAAGTATCGCTTGCTATGCAATGGTAAGTGTTGCTGCAGGAATCACCTTGGCAAGCGGACGCGGATGCTACCGAAATGCGGCGCATACTGAAATGTAATCAACATCCTCTTGTCTGCAGTTACAAACTATCCGCCAGACGCAGCTTATACAATGCCACGGCACTCCAATCGGATCTCAGTAACCAGAACCACGGCCACGCCATCGGCAATCTGGACCTGGAGTCGGCCCGTCAAAATGCCAGGATCGTGGTTATAGGCGCCGGTCTGGCTGGTCTATCGGCCGCTCAGCACTTGCTGTCGCATGGTTTTCGGAGGACTGTTGTCCTGGAGGCCACCGAACGCTACGGAGGGCGCATCAACTCGCAGCGCTTTGGCGACACCTTTTGCGAACTGGGTGCCAAATGGGTGCCCATCGATGGCTCTCAAGACTCTACGTATGAATTGCTGCGTAATGTCGAGGGGTTGGGCAAGCGGATTAAGCAACCGGACAGGCCCGAGTACGTCCAAATAGACCACGACCAGAATAAAGTTAATCCAGCCATGGTTGACCTGATCGATGCTCTATTCCGTCAGCTGTGTGGAGGCTTGAAGGTCTCCGACAAAGTCAAGACTGGCAGTGACCTTCACTCGCTGGACAACGTGATGGCCTATTTTAGGACAGAGAGCAACAAGGCGATCGGACTCTCTTTTAAGCCAGAAGAGCAAAATACGGCCAGGGAGATCTTCCAGTCGCTGTTCAAGGAATTTAGCAGCGTCCTGGGTTGCTGCTTGGAGTACGTCAACATAGATCATATTACCAGCTGCCCCGTGCAACCGGATCCCATCTATGTGCCCACCGGCCTGGACAATATTGTGGACGAGCTGACCCAACGTCTGGGCAAGGAGCAGCTGCAAACGGGCAAGCCCGTTGGTCAGATACAATGGACGCCGTCGGCACTCGGACACCACAATAGCGTTGGCTGCCTTGACGGAAGTTTGTACAATGCAGATCACATCATTTGCACTTTGCCCCTGGGTGTGCTAAAGAACTTCGCTGGCATCCTGTTTAGACCTTCGCTGCCGCAGGAAAAGATGATGGCCATACGCAACCTGGGATTCGGTAGCCCCGTCAAGATCTATCTCTCCTACAATCTACCCATACGCCTGTGGCTCAGAAGAAACCTGCGACCCCTTGGCACGCTTATCAATCGCGTGACCGATCCCCAAGCCGAACGGAGCTGGACACAACAGGTAGTGGAAATATCTCAGGTACCCAGTAGCCAGCATGTGCTGGAGGTGCGCGTAGGTGGTGGATACTACGAAGAGATTGAGAAGCTGCCGGACACCAGGCTCTTGGAACAAATAACAACGCTTCTGAGGAAATGTATTAGCAACCCTCTGGTGCCCTATCCCCAGGAAATTCTGCGCTCCAAATGGAGCACCTCCGCCTGCTATCTCGGAGGGCGTCCGTACTTTTCCACCTGCAGCAGTGTCCGCGATGTCCAGCGTCTGGCTGCTCCGCTGGGTGGAAAAGCTCCCAGTCTGCTCTTTGCCGGCGATGCAACGGCTCTGCATGGCTTCGGCACCATCGATGCAGCGCGATCCAGTGGCATACGAGAAGCGCAGCGAATTATCGAATACTACAACATCAAGCAATACATCTGATGGAATTGGCTTCCCAAGTCGGTACAAAACAAATCCTAGTCAAAATTACCAAATTTAGTTACAATTTGTTTTTTTAAGCAGATCAATTTAATTAAAAGTAGCATAATATACATTTAAAGCATTAACAACAACGACAACGATACGATGATAAGATACTAAATAGTGATGTGGCGATGAACGGTAGTTCCCGGTCCATCTTATTGCGATGTAAATTCCCTAAACATGTCACAACCCAAAGGCTGAGCTGGACTTACTGCTCAGCATCCATCTCGTCGGCGGCGGCGGCGACCTCCTTCCAAGAGTACACCATGTCTTCGGATTGAGTGAAGCGCGAGCAGACGGCCATTCGCAGGAAGTACACATCCTGTATCTTCGCCGGCACCATGTGGATATTTCCTCGGCCATTAATGCGCTTTAGCAGAGCCTCGTTGCGCTCGTTGCTGCCCTTGAGCCGGAAACAGACGAGGCCCATATTTACTTCTGCGGCCAGCTCGAAGCGCTTGTCAGCGACGCACTGCTCCCCGAACTGTGTGGCAAAGTTACAGTGGCGGCGGATGTGTGCCTGCAGGTTCTCGACACCATACAGCCGCAGGACGAACCAGAGCTTGAGGGCGCGGAACCGTCGTCCGAGGGGAATTTGCCAGTGGCGGTAGTCCGGAGCAGAGCCTTGCATATCGTGCTTCAGGTAGAGTGGATCCACATTAAAGGCGTTCACAACCCAGCTGGGGTCCTTTAGCCACATTGCCGAGCAATCGAAGTTGACCAGCATCCAC